TGTGTGCCCAGCATGCAGCACAGTTTCTAGAATATAGGAGACTTTGGGTATTATTTACAGGGAAGACTGCACATAGCCTCCCTCCATGTGGTTCCTCTATCTGCCACCTTCACTTCACTAGTGTTGCTCACACGAGGGTGCCTGTGTTCTGCTCTCCACTTGACATCAGCAGGGATGGGGCAAAGACTGACCCTGGTAGGGAAAGGCCTCACCTCAGATGGAGTTAGGCGCATACAGCAAGGCTGCTGTCACTTGGCTCCGTGACTGTTATGCTGGAGCATGGAAAGTGACAAGGGTTTGCTGCTGGTTGTCTAGTGGGATGTGCTGGCCACTGAGGCAAGGAGCCTTCAATGGCACAAACAAGCCAAATGAAGCCACCGTCTTGTGATCTCCTCCAAAGGCACTTTAAAAACATTAACCCATGTGCTTCCATGGTAGGGCCCAGACCTACAAACCATGGAATTGTATATTCATACATAGCAAAACAAATCCCGATGAAGACGTAACATCTTTCAATTTCTTAGTGAACCAGATTTTAAAATGGGTTGTTGAAAAGGCAAGTCAGAAAACCTGTGCTCCAGTAAGGCTCTCAGAGGGGCTAACCCACTCGAGTGAGACAGTTTGACTGCAATCTGCTCATACAAAGAGCTTAAACTTCCTTTGATAACGCTGGTTATTAGTTTGAAATATTTCCCAATATTTAACTAACTAATTAATCACTGTCAATAGCCAATAACTTGAATTCATTAAAATGTCACATGTCCCCTGTTTTTAAACCAGAAGGTACTGATATCTCTAATGGGTAGAACAGGAACCAGAGTTAAGTTATCTTTCCACACAGAACAGTAAACAAAAATCCTGTATTGATTAAATTGTTAATGGTGCTTTCCTGCTGGCAATATTGGTTCCTTCTGTTTACCAACATATAGATTATGAAGAACATTATCTTCAAAGTCAATGTTTAAGCACCTGGACCACTGGGAAAGATGGCAGCATGTTTATATAAGTGCTCCTGCTCTTCAATACACAATCCCAAAATTGAGCCAGAAGCTGTCTATAGTGAAACCAATAAAAGCCACAATGCCATACCAGCGGCTCCAGGAGAGTGTCTGAAGATAATGCAAAAGGTACATCAACACACTCCAGAGAAAGACTGAGTTCAGAAACTGTGAAAAATATAGACAAATTATTTGGCCCTCAAAAAAAAATGAAATAAGGGATCAAAGAGGACAACAGAATGACCTCCCAGAAAAAGTTTTCAGAAACTAACAAACAAAAGCCATATTACAAACAATAGGGCACTGTCTCAACAGTACAGAAACCTGAGTCAATGAAATAGAGGATAAGACTAGCCAAAAAGTCACACAGCATGAAGGAAGACAAGATGAAGCCCACCAAAAGACAAATGTGAAGGACAGATAACAGAGAGCCAATGGAATGACAGATTCTCAAAAAAACCACCACCAACAACAAAAAAACAAGAACAGAAGAGATACAAATATGCAATGAGGCCTAAAATGTCAGTATCTAATTGCTCACTGTAGGCAGAAAAAGTCAACAGACAACTGTCAATCCTGAGATAAGCTCAAATGAAGGTACTAAATTTCAATAAACAAACAATTACATGTATCCATGGCAAGCGAGCAGGTTATCTACAAAAAAGGAAAGAAAAGTCCATCTGGCTCAGACTTCTCATCACCACCTGATACAGATAACAATAAACTAACATCATGAAAGAACTGCGGGGAAGGACGTGCTCCAAGAATCCAATAGCCAGCCAACACACATCATAAATAATGCAACAGAAAGACATGTGTAAATATGAAAGGGAATCTAACCAACACCACAATGCAGTCCACCAAGACATAAAAGCATCAACTTTCCAATGTGGAGTCTCTGTGTGAAAGGGCTGGCAGGGAGCACTGATCTTACTGAAACATAGAATTAAGTCTAAACAACTCTAGTAATTACCTACAGCTATCCACTTTAAGTTGCCTGTCTTTTTAGGTAAAAGCTGCCAGATCCATTTGACTATCTCCTCTGATTAACTAGGCCAAAATGGAAAACACACAAAAGGAAACCTCTCCCGAGTGGAATTAGCTTGTATTACAGAAAATTTTTGGTTTAAAGCTTACCCTTGAAGATTAATATGCCCAAGAAATTCCTCTAAAAGAATAACACAAATTGCCTGGTGTATTATTCAGAGCACTAACCTAGAAACAAGAAGAAAGAACTACTGACTTTGGTTCTTCTAATCACTGGCCAGGCCACCTTGGCAAGCCATATAACTGCTTTGGGATTCATATGAAAGTAGAGATGTTCCTTTGTGGTCAAAGGATGTACCTCATGGTGTTGTAAGGATCAGCTGGGATGCTGAGTACAAAAGTTCTTTGGAATCTATAAGCAAGGCAGTAAAACCACATCACTGGATGGAAAGAACCCCTATACTAACTCCTGTAGTATAGAGCTAAAATGAGCTATTCAGAGACAAAGAAGGGATCAGATAACTCCTGTGGATCCTTCTCTACTTCCTGTAGTTTCTCTGTACTTTAAAGTCATCTTATAGCACTATTGAAAGAAAAGAAATTCAGGACTTGCAAAGCCCTGACCTGATTTGGAGACAAGGAGAGCTTAAGAATTTAGATGCTGTCTTACTACCCAAGGTAAATGTGTCAGTTTCTAGTCTTTGACTCAGTATATAACATCTATTACTTGCCAGGCACTATTTCAAGTAGTAGACATGGCACCAAATAATGTAAATGAGAGGACATTACAGAGAAACAAGGAAGAATCTGGCAGAAAAGGGGCCAGTGTCTACTTATATTAAATTTATATGTAGAAATCTGACCACTGGCTTACAGGCAAATCCAGCCAACAATTAGAGACACATGCTTAAGCTCAGAGGGTCAAATATAGTCAAGAAAAAGGAGACAGGAACTTAACAAAAAAAGGGTATACAGATGAATGTTCATTTTGTATCTGTGTATTCAAAGTGGTTTAGACAGATATATAGTTACATTCTCTTAATGAATAGAATGATTTGTTCTAATGGTGTTCGTAAATAGGTTATCAAGTCAGCATCTTGTACAGCAATTAACCACTAGGAAGAATGTATGAAGTGTGTTAATTATTGAAACTGTCCTACCAATTTGAAAAAAAAAAGAAAAAGAAAAAGGAGACAAGTATTTGAGTAAAGAGGCTGACAAACTAAGAATGCAAGTTGATCCTCAAACTGTTCTTGTCAGTGAAAGGGAGGATAAGACTTAAGAAAAACTTCTTAGTGAAGAAAAAAGACAGAAGACAGAAGGCAGATTGTACTGGGGTCAAGTGCACACAAGTAAGCTCTGAAGCCATGGTGGTGAAGCTACAGCACACAACACAGGCACCTGCTTGCTACCACTACAAGCTTTCAAAGGTTTGCCATCACTGCTCTAAAGTATACTGAGTCAATGAAACACTGAAATAACAATTTGTTTTTGAAAACTACCTGTCAAGAATGTGATAGGATTTTTCTATATCACATTTTCCATACATGAGCCCTAAGTGGTGCTTGCTTGAGGGCCTGGCACTCAATGGGTAGTCCTCAAGCAAAGCATAGAGGAACAAGGCAGAAGGTGACATGACCCAAATGCGCTGCCTCCTTTCCCCTATTGCGGATCTCACTTGAAAGTGCAAAGGAGAACAGTTGGAAATCGAGGTCTAATGAGCTAGGGATACTATCGAATGTTTGTAAGGAAGCTAGAGCCTTTCAATGTAAAAGACCATTCATTTATATCCTTCTTTTCTGCAATGCTGGGGATTGAATCTAGAGTTTTGTGTCCCCTTGGCAAGCTCTCTACCACTGAGATCTACCCCTAGGTCTTTTTACCAAGCCCCCTGGGCTTTGGTGACCCCTTCACTGGGGGTGTCTGATGGTTGACTTTGCTGCACCCCTTTTTACCTTGAGATAAGAGTCTCACTAAATTTGTTACACAGGCCTTGAATCTGCAGTACTCTGTCATCTAAGGAGGTGGAATGATGACCAGGCATCAGCGCATCCAGCTTACTTTTACATCTTTTACACCATAAGAGAATAATCACACCAAACAGCCCTATTCCAGAGACACTGACTTGGGCCTCAAACAAACTGTGCCATGTAGCCCATCTCTTCAATCTCTAAGTACATTGATATATGTCTTTTACTAGGCTGACTACATATGAGTTCTCTGATGAGATCCTTCTGAGGATGGAAGAGATGAGATCTAAAGATGGAAAGAAACTACCATGAACTTAGGTAACATCATGACATGAAAGGAAGCCATAGTCAGTGAAACTAAGAGAAACAGAGTTGCAAACAAGCCAAGTGCAGTCGGTTGCAGCCTAACTCCTTCCAGGGATGCATTCCCCACTGTGCTTGTGATGGGACAACTGCATTGCCACTGTCATGTGACTAAGTGATAAAGACTACTTTGCAACTTCTAGTTCAGTAGACTTACAACCAAAAAACTAGACTAACATGAAAATCACAGTGAAGAGAAACACAACCTGAGGAGTTGTATAAGATGCTACTTTGAATATGGGCTCTCAACTGGCTTCAATTATTAAGAGTAACTATGACATCATTGCTCTTTCCTCATCCAAGCACCCTGTTAATTCATACTTTCAGTTCTAGCAAAAAATGAAGGAGTGTGAAAATCAGATTGAGTTCACAAATCTAAACCTGGCTAAAATGAGAAGAACGAAAATGATGAAGGCTCACAGCATTTTTCAAGTAAACTAGAAAGAACTTTTCCCTTCGATAGTCTTATTTTTCACAACTAGTAAAGTGCATGACACAAGAACTTCCAACTCCTTAGGGGATCACAAAGGAACATGACAAAGATATAGTGGTACACTGTTGCAATTTCTACAGAAGCAGGGAGTCTCCATTTTCCACTCTTCAGAGGCTTCGCACTGACCACAAAGCAGTTTTTCACTTACGAACTTTAAAATTAAGCCGTTAAGTGAAAAATTCCAAGACACCTTTTGGAATGTTTTAATCAATGGAATGGAAGCATACAACTGAACTGTAAAATATCAATACATCTGTGAATAAGACCTATTGTGAAAGTACCATGCCTCATCTAATGAGAATGCAGACCAGATGGAGGAAGGCAAACCCTATCAGAGTGGAGGAGGGATGCATGGCAGAGAGGGCTCTGGGACTGAATTCTCAAGATGTGCTCAGCTGCTATCTTCTCTTTCTAGATTCCCCAAACCTAGCTGGGAGTTTGGAACAAATATAGTATTTGGTCACAAAGAGCAGCAGCAGTTAAGTGCTACATCTTGGATGGGGAATGAACTCAGAATCCAGGGAAGACTGGAGACACCAGGCTCTATGATAATAAGACAGTGTGAGGACACGCGAGCTCTATAGAGGCTCTGTGCTCTTACGCGATAGGCACTGACTACACCACGGCAAAATAACATGAAAAATTACTTGAGTTACTACTTTAGTGGAACTTATAACTGGAATAACTACAGGAAGGGCTCCATGGAAAGACCCAGATGGTATGGAGAAAACACACACTCAAGCACTGGGAATAATTCAGACGTGGCGGAAAAAAGAGCTCTCTCAGTGACTTGTAGAAGATGACCTTTCTTCCCAAACAGGACCACAGCATTCCGTGCCTTACCAAGTACTATTCGTCTTGATCTTGTTCCTGTAAAGAAAATAATGGAATGTCCACAGTGAGTCTCTGCGCATAACCTCCTCTATTTAGCCAACATTAACCAGAGCATTGAGTTACGATGAAAATTTAAAAACTCTTGCCTTACTCAGAACCCTTACTTAGAATTATTTTCTTTTTTTTAAAATTTATTTATTTATTTATTTATTTATTTATTTATTTATGTGTGTGTGGCCACGCTCAGCCCACCAGGGGGCGGGGCTGGCTGGCATGTGGTGCTGGGGATTGAACCGTGGTCCCTGTGCTTTTGCTAAGCTTGTTCTAAGTAGGTGCTTTAGACCACTGAGCCATCTCACCAGCCCTAGAATTATTTTCTACAACACCTTCACAGATGAGTTGGTGGAGCTCGGCACAGCCCCAGAACATCAAGAGTGCATTACTTTTTTTGAAGACTTCAAAAGCTTTATCAAGAGCCAATAGTTAGTCAGAGACACTGAAGACCTTCATTTTCCGTGGCCAGAGAATAAAACCTCCCCTGACACCAGACGCCTACACCTAGCAATGGTCATCATCCTAACAGCATGGGAAATACACAGCAAATTTAAATTATTACTGTTGCACTCAAGGATTTTCTTTCTAGTGGGTTTTTTTTATATGACATAATAATGGACATTATAATTGCTTTATCTCCTCAAAAAAAAAAAAAGATAGGATTTCTTGAGGGAAATAGCTGATTCCAGAACAGGTGCCAAGTAGATATAAGGGAGCCTAGGATAGCATCCTGCACCAGGAAGCAGGAGAGCTTTCAATGACAATAAACTTGTGACTGCAACACAGAGGAACCGGTTCAAAATAGCTAGCCTTGGCTGGGGGTGCCCCAGTTCAAACAACAAAAAGGACAACAACCACTACATGCACAGCATGGATAAATATCCCAGAAGGCAAGCCAGCAAAAGAGTACACCCTGTATGTTCTTTTATGTTTAAGAATACCTCTAGTGCTGTTAGAAAAAGGTTCCACATCAACTCAGGGACAGGGGAGGGAGAAGAGTCCAACTAGAATCTTTTGGGGTACTGGAAATACAAGTGTAAAATATATGAAGTTATAACCTTTTTATTATTTGCTACAGGGTCTTGCTATGCATTTCCAACTCATAACGATCCTCCTGTCTCAGCCTCCTCAGAGCTGGGATTACAGGCATGCACCACCATGCCCCATTTCGGGGTAGGCATAGCACGGCATGCAATACCAGGGCTCAAACTTGGGTCTTTGCACTTGCCAGGCAGGTGCTTAGACTGCCAAGCTATCTCCTCAGCCAAGCTATAAACTTAAGATTTGTGTAATTCACAAATAAGTATTTCAATAAAATAAATATGAAAAACAAAATACTTCAATAAAAAGGTGCTGAGTGTAACAGAGAAAAGTTATAAAAATGTATTGAATATATAATGCTCAAAATGGATATAGCAAAAATTGATTTGGCATCATTTAAAATGACTTGGAGAAAGTGCCTGCTTAGGGAGGTGCAGTACCGGGGTTCGATCCCCAGCATGCCGTGTTGGCCCTGCCCCCAGGGGCACACTAAGTTTGGGACTGAGACTGGGTGTGGTAGTGCACACCTGTAATCCCAGCACTTGGGAGGCTGAAAACAGGAGGATCACTACAAGTCTGATCTGTGTAATGAGATCTTGTAGACCCTGTACTAAATACATAATAAAATAAAATGACTTTTGGTTTTTATTTATTTATTTTTTCAGACAGACTCTCACTACATAGTATAGGCTGGCCTGGATCTCCCTTATGTAGCCCAGGCTGGTCTCAAATTCACGGTGATCCCCCTGCCTCAGCCTCCTGAGTGCTGAGATTACAGGGCATGTGTTACCACATATAGCTTTAAAGTGATTTTCAACCTGATTTCTCCTTGAAAATCAGTGATTTACATGGAAATTATTTTTTTCCTTTAAATTTAAAAAGAAAAAAATAAACGTACTGGGAAAACTGTGCTTCAAGGTACCTAAATGGCCTTAATTGTTGAGAAACAGCTTTGTTTAATAGGGGGAAGGTCAGCTAATCACTCTAAGGTAATGATTAAAAACATTTCTTACAAACACTAATGAAAGTATTGCTAGAGTGGCAGTATGACTTCTTTCTTTGCAATTTGGATGCCTTTTCTTTCACCTGCCTAGTGTCTCACTAGGCCTTCCAGTACTGTGTTGAATAAAAGTGGTGAAAGTGAGCACCCTTATTAAGCCAAAATGATCACAATTAAGGTGAAACCATTGGGTGAATGGCTGATAGGGAAGTATCCATTGTATGGAACAAAAACAACAGCACAAAATGACTTTCTAGTGAAGAGGATAAAAATGGCTAGAGCGTGGAGGGATCAGACAGCCATCACCTAAATTATGGTCCATCTTAACAGCACCACTGGGTCTCATCATGTGATTCTGCAACAGTGCTGATGGAGTGTTCTGGCTAAGAAACAGAAAAAGCTCCATTGAGCCTTCAGATCAACTTCCACTTTACAGGAAATATGGTAAGGGAAAACAAAGTGATATTTCAAAGCAGAAATCAAACAAACCAGTGTGGGGATTCTACAGAACAACTGACATGGATTTTGAGTAACAGCAGAATTTTCTAGATGGGTCTTGAGACTATGAAGCTGTGCTGTGGTCCTAGAATAGTGATCCTGGCTTAGATAAGTCAGGAGAATTTCAATGAGGTTAAGGTTTACTTACACAGAAAAGCAGAGACTAAAAAAATGAAACAGAAACAGGTTATAAAACAGCATGACTAGTATGATCTCCTTTGGGGAAAATACAAATATATGTATACAAATAGCATATTAACTATAAGAACACGCAAAGCTGTAACAGAGGTAATCTGTGGATTGTGAAAATATGGTGATTTGTAAGTTTTCTAATTTTTTACAATGCACATATATTTTAAACAGATTCCTTAGTCTTGCTTGTACAGTTGGAATTTACAGGTAGTCAGAAGAAAAAAATTGGGGCCGGGGAGATGGCTCAGTAGAATAAGCGCTTGCCTGGCAAGTGCAGGGTTCTGAATTCAAACCCCAGTTCCAAAAAAAAAAAAAAAAGAAGAAGAAAATTGAAACCAAAGGTTGAATTATTTTTCTTAGTAATACATAATGTAATGGTTGTTATTTTATGATTTATAACTTCTTTCATTTCTAGTTTTTATTGCAATAAACTATATAAAACAGAACTTACCATCTTAACCATTTTAAGTATACAGTTGACTGGCATTAATGTGTACAACCATCACCACCATCTGTATCCAGAACTTTTTCATCATTGCAAACTAGAAGTCTGGCTTCCCTAAACAATAACATTTTCTTTTTCCTTCAGACCCTGGCGACCACCCTTCTGCTTTCTGGTTTAATGACTCTAGGAAGTACATAGAAGTAGAACCATGCAATATTTGTTCTTTTGGCTCTGGCTTGCTTCATTTAACACAACAGCGTCTGGTTTCACCCATGTGGCATGAGTCTGAATTTCCTCCACTTTTTAACACCAAGTAATATTCCATCATATGGCTATACCACATTTGGTTTATCATGACTGATAATTTTAAGTTCTTTATTTTTTCAGTTTCAACCCACAGAATTTCTCTAAACAACCTTCTGTTAATCTCTAAGGTTAATTTTTTAAAAATAAAACTCATGGCAGGACAAACCCTGTGCTCAGTGTTAAAACCTCTCCAGTGAAAGGGTTTCTAGAAAAGAAGGTACTTGGTTCAAACAGAGATGTTGGCTACCCAACTCTTGCTATTCTTCTGTCTGGCAGTGAAGACTCTGCTCCAGTCTTTCTTAGGGATCATGTTACTTTTCCAGTGATAAAATTACAATGGACATGTAGCAGAATGTATCTCTTAGTTGTCTGGCTGGTACATTTTAGAAACAAATCAGTATCTTATAATGGAAATCAAAATGGTACATAACTGTTTAGCCTTGTATTTCGATGCATCCCTGGGTTCGCTGCTGGGATTGCTCCAGTCATCAGCTTCTGGTGTGGTCTTGTAATGGCGCCACGCAGACTTATTGAAAACTGGCAGCCTCTCAAATGATTCACTAGAAAGAGCCTATAGGAAAAAAATATATATACACCAAAGGCCCATGGTGCCATTTTTCTCACATGAAATACTAACCCAAAATTTACTACTAAAACATCAGAAACCATAATGCATACTTCTGGAATTGTATTAAAATTATATTTTAGCAATTTACTTAGACTAGCTAGGAAAAACTGAAGGTTTTTTAAAGGAATGAAAATATTCACCCATTCAAAATCAGTACTAAAGTGCATATGATTATAAGAAAGTGCATTTTAATTTAGTTAACAGTGCCTTAAGATACTCAATCATTTTGACTGTATGTTCTTAGACCAAGCACTACTGTTCACAGAGCAGCTGCTCCATCAAAGGGCTCAGGAAGAAATAAAGTCTTACACGTGCTAGACTTATAGACAATATGCCCATCAAGTGATATCAAATATCCATCAGTTAGGGGCTGGCAATACAGTTCAGTGGTAGAGCATGTGTTTAGCATGTAAGAGGCTCTGGGTTCAATCCTCAGCACCAAAACAAGACCACAGCATTTAGATGCATTGGCATCTAACAAATACTCCAAATAACCAGTTAAATTATGGTACCACATTTGTAGCATGCTATGCCATGGTTTAAAAGAGTCAGCCAGGGCTGGAGATAGCTCAGTAGCATAAGTGCCTGCCTGGCAAGTGCAAGATCCTCAGTTTGATCCCCAGTAGAGAGAGAGAGAGAGAGAGAGAGAGAGAGAGAATGAGCCAGAGATATGCAAGATACATTGAAAAGTAAAAACGAAAACATGACCAAGATGCTAACATTTCATTTATATTAGAAGACTAGATTTCTCTCCTATACATCTGTATGTACAGAATGATTCTAGGAGGACCCATAAGAAACTAGGACCCATGGTTACCTGTGGGAAAGAGACCCAGTGGCTTAGAGCCAGTGGTGAAAGACTGAGTTTCCTCCTTTTGTTTTTGAAGTATATTATATGTCCACATTACCTATTCAAAAGCACTCCAAATATTCTAGGTTTAAAAATAAAAGTCTAACATGAGCAATATGGGAGAAAAATGGTGCTACTGAGAACTTTATTACATCACCCTTTTATATAACCATAGTGTCAGTAGTAAATTCTTATAACTTAGGAAAGCCTGAAAATTTTAAAGCTATAGACTCAAAGATTTAAGATTACTGAATATCTGTCTCTTCGTCAATTAGATCTTTCAATGAACACATGCTTTTGAAAAATCATAATTTAGAATTAAATTAGATTTAGAATTATAATTTTTAAAATCAGCATTTTAAGTTTTACATCTCTGTATTTTATATCTTGCTATTTCTGAGCATAAAATGAAGGCTGAGGCATAACATGGTTTTCATGTGACATGGTAAATCTGATCAAGAGATGACACAGTGCTATTCTTAATTTGAATTAGAATTTATGGCCTTAAAAAGTAAAAATGCTTTTTCATTAACAGAAATAAAATGCAGTACCTTCAAATAAATGACAGCATCAGTACCTACTCCTTCCATGGAATATAGTTTTAGATCTCCTTGAAAATATCTAGCATACAGACGAGAAATTGGCAAACCATAACCAAATCCGGCCTACCAAGAAAAGAAAATTAATACAATGAGTCATGCACAAATGTTTCATATGAAAACCATTCACTGAAGATTAAAATAAATTCTTGATTCAGATTTAAATCAAATGAATTACTAATCCAACCTTTATAATGAGTAATGTGCTTATCTATGGCAAAATCTATTTTCACCCTGCAAAAACTTTTTCACATATTTGGATAATAACAAAAATATTCAAATTTTGACTAATTTTTTCAGTATTTTAATGTAAATTTTTAGCACTTTTCAAAAGAAAATCCCCAATCAGGCAGAATTTGATCTGATGACAAAAATAAACTACATCACTTCAGATTTCCATTATCAGATTTCTTTGTTTTTTAAAGTGAAAATGTCTAGCAAGAGATTTCAAATCCACCAGCATCAAGGCTAAAACACTGAAAACAATTTCCTGAGAAGCTATCTTCTCCGATTCTGAAAATGCTACAGTATGTTGATATATTGAGTACATAAATTTTTAGAAATCAGCAAAAAAAAAAACCCCAACCCTCTAGTACCTTAAACCTCTATGTCATAAAAATCTGACAGCCAATAAGAAATACTTAAATAAGTGAAAAACATGTCAGATATTGATGACGAACCATAAGAAGAACTGAGACTGAATTCAGTGACTTTCATGGTGGTCATGGACGGGTGGGGGGAGGTGCTATTCCACCAAGCCTTGATATCTCTAAAATCTATGAAAGGTTAGGGCAGGAGGGCAGTGGGGTACAGCACACAAAAAGTCATCGTCACGTGGGCTTTAGACTCACCTCAGTTGAAATGCACTTTTTGTGCACCAGTTAACCTCTTTGAGACTGCTCTCTCATTCAATGTGTAATAAAAAGTGTACCTCAGAGCTGCTATAAGGATCAAACGATATAATAAGTGCAAAGTCTTGGCACAAAGCCTAACACGTAGTAAAACTAAATAAAGTGAAGAAGGTGTTGTGGCTACTAAGAGCAGCAATTTTACCAAGTAACATGGATTTCTGCCATTTTCTAACATCTCCTCTTGATATTTTTCTTAATGTTGGGCAGAAATGAAAGGGCGGGGTAACTGATCGTATCCTGTCATTTAAGGGCTTTAGTACTTGTTAAGAATGGCCAACAGTGAAAATGTGATATCCATAGTAGTCACTGAGGTAACCATAGCAAAGAAATCAGCATACTCCAAGAAGAGACCCAAGGAATCTGCCTTCTATGATAAAGCAAGGCCCAAGCCTGCCCTCAGGTCTAACAGGAACCAGTGGACAATGCAGCAGACCCTGTGGGGAGGCAGGGAATCTGAGAGTCCTGAGGAACAGAGAGGCTTCTACTTTGGATCAGGTAGGGTTCAGGAAAAGTTTCCCTGAGTGTTGAAGGATCAATAGGAGTTAACTGGACACAGTCATGAAAAAAAAAATGCAGATGTCAGGTCACAGTGGTGTGGAACTCTAAGTTGCAAGGTAAGGAAATGATGTTTTCTAGTAGTCCATATCTACAGGTCCACCTTAAAGCTGAGGACAGTTTGCTAACTGGAAGGGACAGCAATAGCAGCATTTTTTAAAGGAAATCCCAAACAGTACAGTGGAAACAATGCAGACACAGCCATAAGGGTGTGTCTACCATCACTTAGCTAGGGCAAGGGATGAATCTCACCTCCTCATCTCTATGATTGGCAGGTGGCTTCATATTTTAAAGACTCTTACTTCATTTCTTCAGTTCCATAAAAAAAAACTATGACCTAATTGCTACCTTAAGCTGTATGTAAAAAATGCAATAGACAACCCACATTCCTTTCAAACAACTGGGGAAAGCACACAATTTGTTTGTAGTACCCTTTTTTTCCTTTGAGGCTTATTTAAGTAGGTACCCAAACTTGACACTGAAATCCCTTTCCAAAATGATCTCTCAGGAATTTTCCTGAATCCTATATAAGTGACTTCCTCTTTGCTTTCTGCATGCTGAGTTAACAAACTCTGTCTCAAATAAACGATGCAAAGTGTTTGATTTTATTCATACAAATAAAATATAATCTTATGTGCTTATCAGTCAGGTAGGACTTTAAAATGAAACTTAATTTATACCCTGAACCATTCTGCAGACTGATAGATATGTTGCTTTGTTTAATGACAAAGGGTTCAATTGTTGTTTGTCAATTAGAAACACTCAGCAGGGGAAGAAAGTGTGGCCCTACCAGGATCTAAATGCTACCATGGTAACCAGAGGCTTTTCTCACTGCCTTAATAGGGCTGAAGGTTACTTTCAGAGTGTGACAGAAAGGTCTCTGAAAATGCATATACCGCCTATATGTTTTATGCTTAAAGTATTTAATATAAAAAATTAAATGTTTTCATATCAGCATTTTAATTATAAAACAAATTTGATGTTGGAGACTCAGAGGCTTTGGGTGATTTGGGTCTCTGTGGCTTGTAGCGCCGCAATGCTCAGGACCAAGCTGTAGCTGTACAACCTCACAGTCCCTCTGCTTACACACTGGTAACTTCCACCCTCCCCGAGGGTGGTGTTGCGTGCTAATGGTGCTCCAGCAGCCTTACTACAGTGAAAGGCTTTCTTGCTGTACTGGGAGTGAGGCTTTCAGCTCCGAGTATTTCTTAGTCAAATTAGAGAAGCAATCTAACTCCAAAAGCCTCACAAAGAAAGTAGGAAGGCAAAAAAGGTCCCCCCTCCTCCAAACTCTGCAGGGCACATTCTTCAACCAGGCTACTGTGACAATCCAGGGGAGATGGGCAGGTCTCCCCCAGGTAGATAGAGCCCCTCCCCCAGTTAGTGACCTTTTCTTCAGAGTCAGCTTGTGATGCTTACCAAAGGGACAGCTCTTGTGGGCTCCAGGCTAGGTCTAGGAGCAGTTGAATACATGTAGTTGAAGAGACGATCTATTTTGCGAAGTGGAACTCCACCACCTAGGTCACTTATCTGTAGCACACAAAATGTTAAAAATAAAGATACCAGTCTATAACTTAAAGTAGGAGGCAATGAAGTCATTAAATGAAGTACATTGTAGAATACTCCAAAATGGGGAAAGGCTTTGAAATCCTGCTGAGATAAGGTTCCTATGAGAACAGCATAAAACAGAGAAGGCAGAGTAGTGCAGGAGGACCCAGGTGTGTGGCTGAGGTCTTGTTCCATGAAGTTTAACTGAGGTAACTCAAGCCAAGGGTCCAGCATAATACCGTCACGCGTCACTTAAAGACAGGGACACATTCTGAGAAATGTGTCATTAGGTGATTTCACCTCTGTGCTAATATCATAGACTGTGCTTACACAAACTAAGTGGGCTCTAATGTCCCTATGTACATAATCTTACGGGATTACCATCATACGTGCGCTCTGTTGTAGCACATGGTTATACTTATAAATTAGACTCAGTGAATGGCAGTTTTCATCCTTTGCCTCTGATTTTATGTCTAGATATTATTAAATTAACTCATAATTAAAATATATATACAAGGAAAGCAGTTACCTTAATAGACAAATCTTCTTTACCCAAAGTAACAAGAGTTTTAACAGCAGGGCAGCCCTCTTTTTTATCTTCATACAATTCAACTGTTGCTCTCATTGAGTTCTAAAATAACGAGACCTTTTGTTAAAGCATATTGCTGACTCATAAACCACAATTTCACTAATTTATTTGGTGCTGGGGATTGAACCTTGGGCCTCATGTTAAGCATGCACTCTACCACCAGGCCAGTCTCCCAACCCCTAAAAGCACAATTTTCAAAAAGAAACTAGTATAAGATTACTTATACCCAGCAGTTCTTTTGTGGGGCAAGTATTAACTGGATTTACATGGTATTTTTCCCTCTTGAGAACTTGGATAAACACATGCTCAGATCAAGGAAAAATTTCCTGACACTTTATTTTGTTTTGCATCTAGTTTTAGCCCTAGCATGATAAATATTTATTTTTCTTTCTTTCCTTTTTACTTTCTCTCTCTCTCTCTCTCTCTCTCTCTCTCTCTCTCTCTCTCTCTCTCTCTCTCTTTCTCTCGCTCGCTTTAGGGTATTTAAATTATTCAACTCAACCCGGAAGGATGTTTTTATCACATGTAATGAAGCTGCAGAGGCTGATTTGTGCACTTTAAATCCTATTTATCAGGCTGCATTTATAGAGCACCTTTCTTCTAAAGCAGGTAGAAAAACTGAAAAGATTCATGCTTCCCATAAAAATTAAACATTTGGTTGAAAAAAGTAGAAGAAATATCATTTAAGAAGAAATTCTTAAAAAGCCACAGCTGTTAGAGAGAAAGTTCACAATTGAATGCCCATCTCCACCTTAAAGTGTTACATTAGTAACATTCTAATTTTTGGAAGCAAATCAGCATAACTGATTTTTCAGGTGTTCAATTTAATGTCTTACACATTGGAAGAGATGGAATTTTAGCTCAACTGCCTTGTGTCTGTACTACAGTATTGTAAATGCCATTTGTTACTGGGTGACAAAAACCCTAATTTAGGCCACAGGAAGGCATGTCCAACTCATGGCCCATGGACAGTTAGCAATGAGGCCCCACGAGATAGGAAACTTTTCACATTATTATGTTATTTTTAATGACCGGACTGTATAGTGCTCAAGCACGGACTGCATCGGCAACAATGGACCCAGACATCGATGCTTCAATTTTGCAGCAAGTTTTATGCTTATGTTGCTCTCATTTAAAAATGTTACAAGAAAAATATTCAAGAAAAAAGGAATTTTTGTTACTTATGTGCAGTAAGCACATTATATATTTTATGTGGCCCAAGACAACTGCTCTTCACTCAGTGTGGCCCTGGCAGGCCCAAAGGTTTTATGTCCATGTTTGACTCTGTATCCTTTTTGGTCCAGTTCATCCATGTCTTTCCCTTCCATCTCTGTCAGATCTTCTGAATTGATCCAAATATGTAAAAGGATTCTGGGATGCCTCAGAACTGGAACAACTATTAATACGCCAACATAGCTAATGTTCAGAAGCACAGGCATACATAAACATGCCTTTTATTTTGGTCTGGCTACTATGAATAAAGCCATTACTAGGTTTGAAAATTAAAGGGTGGCTCTAATCTCATAACCTATGAAAAAACAGTATGGATTTTATGTAAAGTCACTAAAGTACAATTAAGTTTCAAAATCAATATGTACTAATATTCACAAAAACTATAGTGTACACAGCAATTTTTCATCTCACAGTGTACAAATATAAAACCCACAGGATATCAGAAATAGAATTTTTAAAATGGTTATGCAAAACCTTTTTCTTATGCTAATCTAATGAATCCATTATGCCCTGAATCAAAGTAATTTAAAATGAAGACTTCTTTTCATGTTTTTAAATTCCACTTACCTTGAACAACTCAAATAGCATGTGAAACAGATGTGAGGGCACATAAACTACCTGAATAGGTTTGTCTGGTGCTTTGGCTGAAAACAGAGACAAAACTGTCAATGAATAAGGACTGAGATGACAGGAGAGTCAAGAATGATGTTTGCATTCTATTTTCGAAGTACATAAAACAGAGCACTATAGAAAGCTAACTGAGGTTCCCACTTCTCAAGGCAGGGAAGAGCAAAAACATATGCTTCAGAATCAAAACAAATCTGGAGTGAAATGCAGTTAGCTATGTGACCTTGGATACATCTCTCAAGCTCCCTGAAACTTAGTTGAAGAAAACTAGAATCTCTCTATGCCCCGATATCCTGAGTATTTCATAAGGACAATAAAATAGCACTTGGACAGTTCCAAACTGGGGGGACATCCCCATTACTGACTCCAGTGGTCAGCTGAGGGAATATGAAGCCACCAGAGAAAAACAGCTGTTGAATTGGACTGAACGGCGGTGTTACATTTGGCTAATGTATGGTAGAGCAGAATGTAAGGTTCATAAAACTTTTTTTACTAACAACCAGCAAAGAAAACCCCAGAGACCTATAGTCTTTTCTCCTTGCATCAGGGATCTTCTGAAGAAAATCTGAGAAACACTGAGTCTCATGTCAAACACTAAGAACAGCGTGGATTAGAGAGGAGATGCTCGGAAATGTAGTCCTTCCCCCTGGTGACCCAAAATCACCTAAGAGATTGAAGCTACATGAACTTTCTCAAGTGTAGCACATACAGACTCACCCATGCTATAATTTCAACCTACTTCCTCTAGAAAACAATTCAAAATAATATACAGCTACAATTTATTTGGTTCTTAGCAGTTTACAAAAAGCTTTCACACACATTATCCAATTGAATTCTTATTATAATACCCTAAGGCTCAGAGGGTAGGTGGCGTTATTTACAGGTGAACAAACAGGCTTTGGAAAGGCTCCTGCCATGGTAGTGGACGTGACACTGAAACTAGATGCTTGGTGCAAGAGCTGTTCTGAATGGGATCAAACCCAGAGCCCTGCTGTACCACTGACGTATATAACCAGCCCACAAGAGCTCTTGATCCCAGATCTTGGATCTTTTGATTGTCAGCTATTTTTAAAATTTAGGAATACCCTCCCATCCATGCCCAGAGGCAGCGACTTTACTACTTCTGCTGTACTCTTTTGGTTGATATTTACATTCTGTTCTAAAACTCTACTTAACTATGCTATATGTTATTCACGCGTCCTTTTCAGAAAAGCTGAAAACCAGTAGTGTCAGTAACATTATAAATACAGAAGTGTTGATCACTGCAGCACAGCCACAACAATGTACCTAGGATTCCCTTCTGAATCTCTGTCTCTGTGTCTGTCTGTCTGTCTGTCTGTCTGTCTGTCTGTCTGTCTCTCTCTCCCACTGAATTTGCAGAATTCACTACGAGGAATCGTCTTACAATAACAGCATAGCTGCTACATTCAATGTCACTCACATTTTGTCATGCTAGTGGCATTTGCCAAGGTCTGGTATACCACAGTTGCAATGTTCTTGTTTAAGAGTGAAGGACTAGACTCATATTTCAAGGTACTGATGCTCTTTTCCCTTGGGCTCTCCCTTAAGTGGAAAGGCTTAGAGGTCTATGTACTTGATCAAGACTTCAACTGGCTTTAGGACAAGCAGACAGGAAGTTAGCCTCTGACATGCCCCCAAATCTTCAAATGAAGTAGGCTTTACTTTGGGGTAACATCACTCACATGAACAGTCTCAGCTGTTTCTAGGTTGTTTTTAAACAACAGTACTCTTATTTGGGTGTTAGCAGGCAGACTCTGGCCAGAGTACAACTATTCCTCAACATCCCCCCCCCCCCCATGTTCTTTTTTATACCAGCTTTTGGCTAATACCTACCAATTGGCTTTTCCTTCCCCTTCCAGGCCTTTGCACCACCTAGCTCTGCTCCAGGATCCCTCCAGAATAATCTTCGGCAAACTGGTTGCCAGCTCTGCTGCAGCCTCCTCCTTTGTGACTTCTTCTATATCCCATCACTCAGCATACTTCCATCTGGTTACCCTCTTTCAGGAGCTGGTATGAGTGCTTGTGTCCCCTCAAATTCATATGCTGAAACCTAATCTCCAAAGTGATGGCATTAAGAGGTAGGATCTTTGGGGAGTGGTTAGGTAATGAGGGTGGTGACTTCATGAATGAGGTTAGTACCCTTATAAAGAGACCCCAGAGAGCTCCCTGTTCCCTTCTTCCATGTAAGGACACAACAAGAAGTTATCTATAGACCAGGAAATGGGCTCTTATCAAACACCAGATTTGCTGACACCATCATCTTGGACCTCTCCGCCTCCAGACCCATGATAAATAAATATCTTCTGTTTAATCCACCCAGTATCAGGTATTTTTTATTACAGTAGCCAGTGGAACTTTGATAATGGTCTACTAACAAGCCCCCTGGTTTTCTGTGCTATTTTTCTTTGTTGTTGTTTTAATGGAGCCAACGAACAAGCTCAGCACTTAAGTTTATCTTGTACCAGTGGCATGCTTATTTATATAAACAGCCTCTGAATTCAACCTTTTCACTCCAAATCTTAGAGAAATGAACAGATCTTTTATAGTGTGGGCTTTTAAAAAATTCAAATAACATTCTTTAGAACCAATCTAAAGATGTGCTCAATTACTTGCACTTTTATTTGGGAATAGTATAGTTTAGATTTCTTCGTTTCCTTTAAAACTATGTCAAACGTTTTTGTCCATGACTCTTCCCTTATTCTGGGTTTACTGGCTGTTAACTAGTGGATACCTAACAGACATTTGTTGACTTGCTTTCTATTTATTTATTTACTTATTATTTTTTAATGTATTTAGTTGTTACAGGGTCTCACTACGCAGCTTGGACTCATGGCGATCCTCCTGTTTTCAACCTCCCCAGTGCTGGGATTACAGGCATACACCACTACTCAGGGACTCTGTGGCCGGATCAGCATGCTCTTGGGGTGAGGCTGGTGCCCCCTGCACTTCCTAAGCTTGCCTAAGCAGATGCTTTAGTCCCCTGAGCTATCTCGCTGGTCCCTTGACTTTCTAAAATAACACACAAGTGGAATATAAATTTTCCATTTAAGAGTACATTTTAAAAGTCAATGGAGGAGCTTGGTGTGGTAGCACATGCCTATGAGCCCAGCCTTTGTGAGGCTGAGGCAGGAAGATTGCTGTGAGTTCAAGGCCAGCCTGGGCTACATCGGGAGTTCAAAGCCAGGCTATACTACAAGTGAAACACTCTCTCTAAAATAAAATAAAATAAAATAAAATAAAATAAAATAAAATAAACCAACCAACCAAAAAGTCAATGGAAAAATGGTCCCGGTTTTTTATGCTTGAAACTCAAGAAACAATAAAGCCTCTGTGTTGCACAGCCTGTGCTCCATATACCATTAATTGAAGCAGCATTTAATAAATATCTATAGCACTCTACATAAGTATAAGGAATTATATTTTCAGATAGTTATTGTATAAGAGTGAAAAAAACTGTTAAGTAGAAAAAATATATTTTTTAAAAAGATAGCAGTACACTTAAAGGTGGCTAATCTGTTTCCAAAAATAAATGAATAAGAATATTAAAAAACAATATATGGTACAGTTTGAAGTCCCTCTGGGATCAACTTCCAACTTTGCCACCTGATAGCTACATCAACAAGTATTTATCTCATCTGGACCTCAGTGTTCTATCTCTGAAAGGGGCCTAGTGCATATTTTACTGGGTAAATTCAAGGGTTAAATGAGATAAACTGGTGTACACACAGCCTTCTACACAGTGAATAGTCAGTACATATAGGCCATTATCATCACTAAACGTAAGTTTCTCAGTGTTAACAGAGCTACCAGTAATGGCTTGTTGACTCCCGTGTGGAACCACTTGACTGAAAGTATCCACTATGGGGAACCTAGACGTCAAAGATCCCAAGATAGACTCACTGTTTTTCTGTGAACTGTCCTAAAAAATTATCATGGTATGAATTGCAATTTTTATGCTCTTGACCAAACTCAAAGATATGAATCACCTTCTTAACACGAATGATCAATGTATAAATAATGAAGAGATGTCAGCAAGGGCTTAAATCTTATCTTTTCCAAGCCATCCTTGACTTCCAGTAGCTACCCTTTAAATATGCAGTATGTGCTCAGTGTCACATTTAAGGCACAATTTTAGAGTACTGGAGACATTCTCCTTCTGCCACCCTGCAAAGCAAGCTTACAGATGAGGAACTTGAGTGCCAGAGGCCAGGCAAGCTGCCTAGGGCCCAAGCTGTGTGTCGGAATCAGGATACCCTAACAGGTGAGATACATAATTCACATCCTCCCTCTAAGCCACACTGTCTGACCCCATGGATGAAAAAAGGTAAGATAAAAATGCTTATATGCTTAATGTTTTGGCAATTGAATGAGAATTACAAGAGCATGAGAACCAGTATGATGAGATTGTTTCTGGACTTTGGAGAAACTGGTCTTGGGCTTCCACAGAATATGTGAAACCAGGCTGGGGATGTACCTCAGCGATACAGCATGTGCTTAGCACGAGTGATCCCAGAGTTCAATCCCCAGAATCAAAGCAGGAAAGAAAGAAAAGACGAATAGATTTGAAACTTGATCTCAGATCAACAAAATTCTGTTATTTTTTAATGTTCCTATTAAATAAGCCACAATGAAGTCAGTTTACCCTAGCTTGCCCTCAATATCCAGAGTTTTAGTGACCACTGGTAGACATTGACGATGGTACCCCTGTGTGCTCTACATAATCCTCATCACTGCTTTTGTAGAGATCCATACTGGGAAAGGAAAAAATTCTCCAAAAATGCAGAAATAATAGATAATATAGCAAACTAACAGAATTTCAATTCTCAGGGAACAATAAATTATTCTTTCGGTTAATGGCAGCCCCACATGTTCTGAAGCGCTGAGCAGCAAGCACTCTACAGTTAAAGGCACCCATTGTGAGATGGAAACATCTTGAAAGGGGATGCTGTGTAGTTCAGATGAGCTCTGACAGTGAATCCATATAAACCTGGTTCTAATTCCTCCCTAGAAAACGGAGTCAGCTGTCATACTGTGGGAAGTACACATGCTCTCTCATTATGAAGTAAAAGCACCTACTTAAGGTGTTTAGGACCAAACTCCAACCTGCAGCTCTAACATAGAACTCATTAAAGCTAAAGTGAATTCCTTAATCATGCTTGTAAAGAGCTTTGGCATTCAAGAAATCATAGGTATAAATCATAACTGCATTACCTAACAACGGAAAATTAGAGGTTATCTATAACCACAAGCACTCATTTCTCTCAGTGATGGGGAGTGGGGCTTCAAAATGTGATATAAAAGGGGGTTCTATCATTTATGAGCTCGTGCCAAAGACAGTTATGAAGCTCCTGTCATGGTGGTGGCTGCGCTGCCCAGCATGACAGAATGGCTCTGGGGCAGTAAAAACAGGTGCACTGCTCCAGCCTGCAGAATGAGTAAGGCTGCTACAATGCACACAAAGGAGGTATTTGTCAGTACCTGCAATTTTTTAAGTGTCGTTTGAAAAATATGAATCTGGACAGCTAGTTCAGGTCCCATCTAGTCAATAGGAGGTAAGAGAATATTAAAAGGCTTCTAATTAGAAATACCCAAGCCAAGGACACTTAGTTCTAGTCTACTCATGCATTCATTTGAGACAGGAGATACAACCCTTCTCAGACAACCCAAGAGGCTTTGAAAGTGGCTCTGACACCATATATTTTAGTAGAGTGTAGGGGCAACTGTCCTTCAATGGCAGTGTGAAGTCTTTTCTAATTTAATGTCACTGTAACACAAATACATATGTGGGTATGTTTTTGGGAAGGAATTGAATTTGGTTTATCTTTAATAATAAATACTCATACCATAAAAATATTTCTGCTTGCTTTTTTTGTACCCTAAGAATCAGTTGTTCTATGTGCAGGAATCTAACCTACAGAAATATTTCCACACATTCACAAATTTTCCCTGCCTCCAACTCCCTCCACTTACTCACTGTGTGGACTACAGGAAAATGAGAAGTTCTAAGCATTCACCCAAATGGAAATGGTTAAAAAATTAAAATGGCATGCAAATAAATACAGAATCATATTCTATGAATATAGAATTATATCAAATCAGTTAAAAGAGAGCTGTTGTTTTATTCTGGTAGTAAAAATACTTTAAAATATTTTCCAATGAGTTTATGCTATTATAAATTTTTATAGCCCATGCTTTTTAAAAAAACAAAAAACAAAAACCTCAATTTCCTCATGATATTCCTTTAAAACATTACTTTGAATGGCTATACAGTATTTCATCTTATGGGTGTATTGCCATTTAAATAATCCTATAATGCAGAAAATAGGTTGTTTTTCAACTCATCTATTATTCTTGTACACAAATCAGGGCACATATCTCTTTTCTTACAATACTTTTTCTGAAGTTTAAGTTACTAGGCCAAAGAGACATGATCATTACTAATTTAATTTACTGGGCCAAACAGAAAAGACATCAGTAGCATTTTTGAGAAAGGCAGTACTAACTTATATATACAACACACATATGTGTTAGGGAGTATTTTTCCGAATACAAATTCAAAGCATTAAAATATTATAAATGTCATTTTGGAAGACAAAAGTGGCACTTCTCTAACTGGTAAAGTTAAACATTTTTCCATGTGGTGACTACTTGCTTATTTGCTATTTTGAAAACTACCTGTTTATGCCTTTGTGAATGTTCTTCCTTGATTGTTCCGAGAACTTAGCACTGAAGTATGTTACACACTGCTATACAAAAAGTCTTCCCAACAGTATTACAGACTGACCAAAGGTATAGAGAAAGGTTTTAAAAGAAACAAAAGATGAAAAAAAAAAAAAGCACAATTTTAGGATTTTACTAAAATAGACCTCAGGTATCATCAGGATTTTTTCAGCCATTTTCTTTGAAATTAAGTTTAAAATTATTTTTCTTTTACCATTAAATTCTTCAATTTCCAGCTCTGGAGCTACCATGTAGTACTGCTCACACAGCATCTTGGCCGTTTCATATGCATCTGAAAAGTAAGTGAAAAGTTTAGTCGCGTGCTAATGACGCAAGCACAAACAAATGTATGAGTGAGTGGGGCATTTGTATGCATATATGCAAACGCACATTCAGGATAAACATAAACTTTTAAACTGATATACTTAAAGGTAAACCTATTACCTTTTAAAAATAGCCTTCTTGGCTTTAATAAATTAGAATGGACAAAAAAATTTCTCTTTTTAAAAAGTTTTAATAGCCACAACCATGTCAAAAATACTAAACTAATAACAACATGGCTAGCTCTATGCCAAGCATACATTTGTTTAACTTTTAAACATTCCTAAAAGGTATTTTTCATGAAAATCTATAAACTCAAGACTATACTTCCAAACGCCATGCAATCTAACTAAATTGTAGCAAAAGGCATTTGTTGTAATTTAAAAATAATAACACCAACAGTCCTATGATGTGCTGGTTACTTGTATGAAACATCAATAAGTATTTGCTGAATGAATGAGTTTTCATGAATTGCACAATTTAAGTTATTGGAGACACCACTATCACTTTAAAATGTCTGTTAAGTTCACTGAAGGTAACAAGTTGGGGTTGATACTCATCAAAATTTGAGGGGAAACAGTTCACTTTTCAAAGGATAAAAAGGGGTAAGAAAATCAGAGTTATTACAGAAATAGCTGAAAGAGGGAATTCAGGAGGTTCAAAAGTCAACAAAAGGGAACAAATTCTGAAAGCAAAGTGTCTCATGACATATTACCTTTTTTGTCTTGAGTTGTAAACAATCTTAAAAGAAAGAAACAACAACAAAAGAATCTGAGGGCAGGATTCGCACCTTACACTCGTTGTATAACATGCATAGAACTTAATGTGGTGCCTAAGGAGATGGTTAGTTAGATAAATTTGAAAACTTTGACAACTTTTTTCTAAAATTTCTTTCAGAAATATAATTCTAGCACCATAAAATCCACATTTGTAGTGTACAATACAACTTAGTGGAATTTAGCATATTTGCCAAGTTGTGTGCCTAGCGCCACAATCAAGTGTATAATATTTTTATTACTAAAAAAGGAGCTAAATATCTATGGACAGTTGTTCTCCTCTACCCAGCCCTAAGCACCATGGAGCTACTTAGCCTCCAATAAATTTGGCACTCTAGACACTTTTGTATACTGGTAAATAGAACCACGTAATATTTGGCATTTTTTTGTGGCTGGCTTCTTTCACTTATGTTTTCAAAGGTCATACCTGTTGTAACATGAATCAGTACTTCATTTTTATTCCTAATAGTCCATCATCCATAAACTATATTTCTTTATTCACTCTTCACTTAATAAGACATGTGCATTGTCTCTACTTTTGGTTATTATGAACAATGCTGCTATGAAATCCACGTCAAGACTTTTGTGTAAATATGTTTTTGTTTCTCTTGGGTATATACTTATGAACAGGAAAAACTGCTGGATTATATGGTAATTCTACACTTGTAGACTTTCAAGAAATGCCAGGTTGTTTTCCAAAGCAAGTTTGGTTTGGTTTTGTAGTTTTACCCTTAAAATTCTAAAGATCAGGCAATCAAATTACATTAAAATTCTTCTTGCATCCATTTTCAATATTGTCCACTATGAATATGCTCCTGAGAGACAAGCTTGTGCTTTTTTTCTATTCACACATTAATACCATGCATGGAAAAGATACTTGCTCAAAATTCAAGAGATGAGAGAAAAAATAAAGGAGAAGAGGAGGAAAATAAGCCCAACAAATTTTAAATTTCCTAAAATTAGACATTATTAATCTAAAATATTATAAAGATAAGATTAGGATATGCTCAGACTGAAAGCTTCAGGTCACTTACCTAATATTACTACCAAATTAGGATTCTGTGTATTATTTGGCTTTAGAGAAAAAAATCTTATAATTTTATTAAATATTTAGAATCAAATCACACAAAGCACCAAAGGTAGAGACATTAGAATAACTCTGATGAGCCAAAATAATGAAGGACAGCAAAAAGGAAATGGCAGGAAAAGAAGAAAAAGTCAAAAAAGAATCTTTCAGTGTGAAAATAGACATGAAAGCTGGACTGAATTTCAATCCTGAAGAAAGAAAGCTGAAATTTTAAATTATACTAAATTTGCAAGTTTGTCCTAAGATCTAGTAAATGTAGCCAAATATCTGTGAAGCACTTTTATGAAAGGAAATCAACTCATTCTTTTTGCTCTGACTGCACCACCAAACAATGCTACATCTCCACCTAGTGACATGATAGCACAAAGCCAGCTTCCAAGACACCTTTCACTATAACACAGGAAAAGAAATGAAACCCGTGCTAGCTCCTGGTACTAACCTGATAGCATGGGAAATGTGCTACATAAATCTAACATGTGGGAGACAGCAGAGCCTAGACAGAAGGAGCCATATTCAAATTCAAAGACTCAGTATGGCTTCTAAAAGCAAATATGAATAAGAAGTTTTTAAACATCACATAAATTTAGTGCATTACTGTTATAAAATTAAGAATCACATGATAAATCTTTGAAGAACTCAAGATATCACAAGGTAGACTCATATATATACCAGTTAGCTAAAAGAAGTTTAGTGGCATCCATGGTAAAATCTATATTGGTAAAAATCTTTACAGATTCTCATAGCATGTCACATACATATTTAGTAAACATGTGCTAAAAGGAACAGTCCTCAGAACTATGATAAAGTCCTCAACATGCAATCAATTATACTGATGGAAAAGTTTTTGCTGTGTGTGTGTGTGTATGTGTGTGTGTGTGTTTGTGTGTGTGTGTGTTGGCTTTTTCTGCTGCTGCTATTGTTGTTGTTAAATTAGGAACCAGAGGCTTCAAGTGGTTCCCAAACCTGGTTGTGTATAGAATTTACTGTCTAACTAAAAAAAGTGAAGACTGTGAAGAGAATCCCTGAAGATTCTAAGCAGTAGCTCTGCAGTAAGGCCTGGGAACCTGAAGCTAGATTTGGGGACCACTTGCCAGGGGTCACACTTATTTCTGACACTGTTTCTCCTCGGACATGAATGATCACATGGTACTGAGGGTGTCTGATAGTACATATTATATTCAAACAGGACACTTCTGTTTAAGTTGTTCAATATAAAAATGAAAAAATATATATATCCTTTACATCTAGAGTTGTATTTAATGCTTTTTTCATTTTTTGTAGTATTGGGGATGGAACTCAGAGCCTTTGCACTGAGCTATGTCGTTACCACATTTCTTATGTTTTTATTTTGTGATAGGGTCTCCTTAAGTCACCAAGTTGCCTAGACTTGGCCTGAACTTGGCAATCCTCCTATCTGTGCCTCCCAGAGTGCCAGGATTCCATGTATTTAAGTTTCTGGTTTCTTAAAAGCTTTTATTTTCTTTATTATTTATTTTTATTCATTTTCATGAGAAAAAGATAAAATACCAATGAAACAGTTTCAAAACAGGTTAGTAGGTCAGTTAACAAAAATTAATACATTGCATATTGTTGTCTTTGTAGTAGTTATTCAGAGGACAAGATGGAGACATGATAGCTTGTCTAAACAATGTTACTTTCTTCTCAGTGAACTAAGAGGAAGTAGCTGTATATCTATCCTAACTATCTTGTGTAAACATATGTATTTTTTTTCTTTCTTTCTTTTTTTTTTTTGGTGGAACCGGGGATTGAACTCAGGCACTTATGCTTGCCAGGGAAACACTTATTCCACTGAGCCATCTCCTGGATAGATATACAGCTACATTCACTTAATTCACCGAGAATAAATGTTGGTACTAATATTGTTCAGACAAGATATCATGTCTGCATCTTGTTCTCTGAATAACTAAGCTGTGTGTCTAGTTATTTTTTCATTTTTTCCACAACAAAATGGCCTTTTATTTAAATTTTTGCAAAGTTAATAACATGTGACACAAGGTTTCCTTGCAACTAATAGCGGACTTTATTATTTTTTTACTTTTTAAATTTTTCATTTTAATAAGAAAAAAAGATAAAATAGCAATGAAACAGTTTTAAAACAGGTTAGTAGGACGTTTACAGTAATTAATGCATTGCATATTGTCTTTGTAGTAGTTATTCAGAGGACAAGATGCAAACATGATATCTTGTCTAAGCAATATTAGTACAAACTTTTATTCTCAGTGAATTAAGTGAAAGTAGCTGTATATCTACCCTAACTCTCTTGTGTATACATACATATTTTTTTCCTCAGCAAAAGTGTCCTTTATTTACACTTTTATGAAGTTAGTAATGCATGACACTAGGTTGCCTACTTGCTGATAGCTAACCTTAACCAGACAGGATGTTCATCTCAGGAGTGAGGTAGCTTGTTTGCTTTAGGCACTGGGCCAAGTCCCACCTACACATATTTGATAATTTCCTAGCTTCTTGGCTCCCAACATATCTCCCTTTTTCTTTTGTTTTTTCAGAGATGGGTGTTGCACTGCAGTTAGAGAAGCTGTATTTGGAGAAGCCTGTAAAGGACCTTTTCATACTTGAAACCAGTCTAAAGATTGTAGGTACTTGAATTCAGCAAAATAACCCAATATAGTCCAATAGTACACAATAGTAGGGAGTTATCAGCGCAACTGGCAAATGTCCCAAGTTGCTGACTTGAGCCTTTTGTTGACAAAAGGTTGACAGCTCAGCATATTAATATAGCTTTACTTTTTATACCTTGTGGTTTCACTTTTCTGCTGGATGATTAAGACCAAGTTAAATCAAGACCTATATAACCAAAAATGTAGCCTTTTGATATCTGACAAAGTCAGCCAAATCCCCTCAGGATTTACCATGGAAACATGTATGGCACCTTGTAGATCTTCTGTCAGCGTCAGCCATCTGGATGAGTCACGGCCCTTGTTTGACCAGTAAAATATTTTTTTGTTAACTTATGAAACATAATTTATTTTAAAGAAGGCATGAAAAGACAGTGCAAAGAACAAGGCCAACTGAGATAAGAAGGGGAAATAAAGCTATGGCGGCAACGCTGCATTAAAAGAAAGCTAT